ATTTCAAAGAAAGGCTAGGAGGCCAGGCAAAGTGCTGTAGGGTCAGAGTGCTTACAGGCTGCCCTTGATAGGGTGAGGCATGGAGATGTGAGGAAGAAGGTGAAGTTGCAATGGCTATCACTAAGATTAAGAAATATCAGTATCATGGAACTTCTGCCCTTGAAAGCTACGAGAATTGAGCATAGACAATGCAAGAGAGAGGCTATGTGGGCTGCAACCAGCAAAGCTATAGGGGTGGGGCTATACAAGTCCTCTGGAGAGAACATCATGATGTCATGTGCCTGAGATGCTGCCCAGCTGGATTTTGGTCACACTTTGGTCCCATCCCTTCTTTCTATGCCCTTATTAATCTCTTTTGGGATGGAAATGTTTACTCTGTACCTTAATATATTGGATACATGTAACTTGCTTCTGAGTTTTACAAGGGCTTATGCTGAGACTTTGCCTTGAATCTCAGAGGAGACTTTGGATTTTGACTTTTGGGGAAAAAGTCAAAAGTTTTAATCTGTTAAAACTATAAGGACTCATAAAAATTGACTATATGTATTTTGCATTGTAAAGTGGACATGAGGGACTGGGGATATAGCTCAGTTGGTAGAGTGCTTGCCTCGCGTGTACAAATTCTAGCACCACACACAAAAAAGTGGGATCTTTTGGGACCCAGGAGCAGAATATTATGATTTAGATTAGGTGTCCCCCATGAGCTCATGTGTAAGAGAATTCAAAAAGTTTAGAGGTAAAATGATTGGTTATAAAGGTTTAACTTGATCAGTGCACTAATCCCCTAATAGGGATTAATTTGGTGGAAACTATAGGCAGGCAGGTTGTGGCTGGAGGAGGTAGGTCCCTGAGGGTGTGCCTTTAGGCTCTATAATATGTCCATGTTGAGCAGAGCACACTCTCTGCTTCCTGGTGCCATACCCTGAGCTTTTCTACCATGATATTCTGCCTCTCCTTGGACCTCAGATGAAGGAGTTGGCCATCTATGAACTAAGACCTCTGAAACCATGAGCCCCCAAATAAACTCTTCCTCCTCTAATTGTTTTTTCCATGATTAAGGCAGTTCTTAAACATTTTTATTATAAAATATACAAAAATTGGGCTGGGGATGTTGCTCAGTTGGTAGAGTGTTTGCCTCACATGCACAAGGCCCTTGGTTTGATCCCCAGCACCACCAAAAAAAATCTATGTAAGATATTTATAGATTATAACAAAAATTTTATAATTAACTCTAGGATAACCCTTGCTAGGTCAAGAAATAGAGTAATACTAATACAAAAATCTCACAACTTTTTCCCTCCGCACTGTGGTAACTACTATATTGATTTTAAAGTAATACTTTCCTTGTTTTTCTTTATTAAAGTCAAGTCAGATATAGTTACCTCTATTTTGAGCTACAAAAATGGCAATTCAACCTGATAGTTATATCATTTTAGTATGTTTTTTTTAAAAATCAACACAGTTTTCGTTTTATTAAGAGTTTTTTAGTTGTGCATAGTAGTTGGGTTCAGCTCAACAAACTCCAAATAGATGCATAGAAATCAATTTCAGTTCATGATGCCCTCTTTCACTCTCCCATGCTCCCTCCCCTCTCCAACTCTCTTTACTAGACTTCCATTTGCTTGACTGTTAATTTATATTTGATTGGTTCGTTATACTATTCTTTTCTTTTTCTCCCACTTTTCTTTATTTTTACACTAGCTTCTGCATATGAGAGAAAACATTTGACCTTGAGTTTCTGAGTTTGGCTTATTTTACTTGCATGATATTCTCTAGATCCATCCATTATTGGCAAATACCATAACAAGTCATTATTCTTTATGAATGAGTAATATTCTATTGTGTATATATACCAAAATCTCTTTATCCATTAATTGGTTGATGGCCATCTTGGTTGTTTCCATAGCTTGGCTATTGTGAATTGGGCTATTATAAACATTGATGTGACTGTGTCATTACATTATGCTGACTTTAAATCCTTTGGATATATGCTGAGGAGTGGGATAACTGGGTGAAATGGTTCCATTCCAAGTCTTTTGGGGAATCTCCATACTGCTTTCCAGAGAAGTTGTACCAAATTTCAGCCCAATCAATGAATCTTTTTCGCCACATCCTCACCATCATTTTTTGTTACTTTTATTCTTGATAATTGCCATTCTGACTGAATTGAGATGAAGTCTAAGTGTAGTTTTAATTTACGTTTCTCTAATTGCTAGAGATGTTGAACTTTTTTTCATATATTTGTTGATCATTTGTATTTCTTTTGAGAAGGGTTTGTTCGGTTCCATTGATCATTTATTGATTGATGTGTATGTGTGTGTGTGTGTATGTGTGTGTGTGTGTGTGTGTGTGTGTGTTAAGCTTTTTGAGTCTGTTGTGTATTCTGGAAATTGATGCCCTATCTGAGGTGCAGGTGGCAAAAATTTTCTTCCATTTTGTAGGATCACTCTTCATGCTTTTGATGTTTATTTTGTAGTAAAGAAGCTTTTTAGTTTGATGACATCTCGTTTGTTGGTTGGTTTTTAAAAAATTTCATTTCTTGTGCTTTAGGAGTCTTGTTAAGAAAGTAAGTTCCTATGCCAATATGTTGATGTGTTGGGTCTACATTGTCTTCTCGTATGTGCAGGGTTTCTGGTCTAATTCTTAGGTCTTCGATCTGCTTATAGTTGATATTTGTGCAGAGTGAGAGATAGGGGCTAATTCTCATTTTATTACTTATGTATTTGTTGAAGAGGCTATCTTTGGCTATCTTTTCTCCAGTGTGTGTATGTGTGGGGGGGTTATTTTTGTTTGTTTTGGTGTCTTTTCCTTGTATGAGGTAATTGTATTTATGTGGGTTTGTCTTTATGTCTTCTATTCAATTCCATTTTTATTCTTGCCTATTTTGGTGCCCTAACATGCAGTTTTTGTTACTATAGCACTGTAATATAATTTAAGATCTGATTGTGATACTTCTTGCTTCATGTTTCTCACTAAAATTGCTTTACTTATTCTGGGCCTCTTATTTTTCCAAATGAATTTCATGACAGTTATTTCTAATTCTATGAAGAACATCATTGGCATTTTGATGAAAATTGCATTGAATATGTATAGTACTTTTGGTAATATGGTTATTTTGACAATATTTATTCTGCCTATCCAAGAGCATGGGAGGTCTCTCCATCTTCTTAAGGTTTTCACCAATTTCTTTCTTCAGTGTTCTGTAGTTTTCATTATAGAGATCTCTTACTTCTCTTGTTAGATTGATTCCTAAGCATTTGGGTTTGTTTGTTTTTTTCTTGAGGCTTTTCCTAATTTCTCCTTCAGCTGATTGATCATTGGAATATAGGAGTGTAATTGATTTATGGGTGTTGATTTTGTACCCTGCTACTTTGCTGAATTCATTTATAAGTCCTAGAAGTTTACTGATGGCCTCCCATTGTTGGGTCTACTAAGATAATTTGAGCTCTTCTTTTTCTATTCATATCCCTTTAATTTCTTTATTTTGCCTAATTGTTCTGACTAGTATTTCAAAGAGTATGTTGAATAGAAGTCATGAAACAAGGCATCCTTGTCTTGTTCCTGTTTGTAGAGAGGGAATTGCTTTCAATTTTTTTCCATTTAGAATGATGTTGGCCTTTGTTTTGTCATATATAACTTTTACAATGTTGAAATATGTTCCTTCCATGTTCCTATTGTTTTCCAATGTTCTAAAAATGAGTGGATGATATATTTTGTCAAATACTTTTTCTGCATCTGTTGAGATAATCATGTGATTCTTGGCTTTAAGTCTATTTTGTGATGTATCACTTTTTACTAATGCATATTAATTAGAATTACTGGCTTCACTGTAGCCATATACATGCATATAATTTACTTTGATCCCTTTTCTTCCCCCATTGTCCTCCTTCCCATCTTCTTCTTTGACCCCTAACCACCTTCCTCTTCTCTAATAATCTCCCTTAGCTTCACTTTTCAGCACATATAACAATGAGAAAAAGTTGGTGTTATGGTTTGGACATTTCATGTGCACCCCAAAGCTCATATTCTGAAAGCATGGTTCCCAATATATCCAAGTTCACAGGAAGAGCTCTTAGGCAATGATTAGATAATGGAGTTGTAACTTCATAAGTGGATTAATGTTTGAAAGGACTGGTGAGTGGTAATTGTAGGAAGGTAGGGAATGCCTGGAGGAGGTAGGTTAAACTGCGCATGCCACTGCACTTTATCTTGTCCCTCAATCCTCTCCTACTCTCTTTTCTTCCTGGCTTCCATGAGATGAGAAGCATTGTTCTGCCATGCCCTTCTGCTGTGATGTTCTAAACTCACCTCAGGCCCAAAGTAATGGAGTTGGCTAACCATGAACTAAACCACTGAAACCATTAAGACGAAAATAAATTTTCCTCCTCTAATTTTTCATGTCAGGTATTTTGGTTATGAAATGCTACTAACAATTGGAAGTGAATCTGGAGGGCAAAATAAAGCATACTTTCTCAGTCTACCTCTTTCCCCCTCAGCATCCTTCCCTTTTTTCTTTATCCAGATGTTGAAAATGTATCTCCAACTCAAGGAAAACTTAGGTTCCATTAAAATCTGTATAATTTCAGAATAATATATATTTACTCTTACTCCCCTCTGTAACCTAAAATATTGCTTATCACCGGTGTTCTTTATATATAATGCTAAAGGATAAAGGAGGAGTGATAGGATAAGGAATAATGAATTAGGACTTTTTAACCTAAATTGGTCTCAGGCCACTATCCTTGATCTCCTGTATTTGTTATTATATAAATATTTTGTCCTGAATTTTTTGAGTTGCACAAAGGAGAGGGATGCCAATATGTGTTAAGTTCATTGACTTTTTCAGGCATGTGAATTTTGTTATAATTTATGAGAGTTTGAGTGATGGTATTCAATTTAATATTAAATTTTTCATCCTAAAAAATGGCCATTGTGTTTCAACATGTTTTTAGAGTAGATGAATGCTTCACTTTACCATATTTCAAACATTTGTTTTATAGATCAGGAATTAATTCCAATGTGTGCTGAAAGTCCTTTGCCAAGAGACTCAAAATCAAAAGATCATCCTCAAAGTAAGAAACGCAAAATTGCCCAAGAGGAAACACTTGGTATGTTCAATATCAGCACATAATTTTAAGTCATATAAACATTTAAAACAAAAAAAAATTGGAAAGTGATTACAAATGTATATCAAGCTAACTAGTTTTGATTTTTATACCTAATAAAATAAAAATAGCAAATATTTATTATTTATTAAATGGTTTTTATAAAATAAATAAGTAATCATAAAGAAAGGCTGGGAGTGAAATAGTATTGTTATCATCACCTAAAAGATAAGGAGAGCGAGACATGAGGTAATTTGTCTAAATTCACATAAATAGAGATGAATTTCAAACTCAGATAACCTGGTTCTTTACTCTGCTATTGTCACCCCCAGGAAACTAGAATCTTGGAAGATACTAAAATCTTGGAAGAATCTAATTAGATTTGAATTTTAAATTGTAAAACAATTTCCTCTTCCCTTTCATACAATTCCTTCCTGTACTCTCTTTCTTTTACTACCATCTCTCTGTTACTACCAGAATTTCTTGTAGTTAATCTTTTAACATGTAATTGTTCTTAACAATCACAAAGAAGACAGTATGTTCCTCAAGTTCAGATCTTAAGTAACAAAAAAGTTGATAAACTGATGAAAAGAAAGGCTGTTTATGTGTTTTCTTATTACTTTTGTATGTTTCATTTTTGTATAGCTATATATCAGTTCTTGATTTTTAAAGCATGAAACAAATAGGGCTTTCTTAACATGTTACATTGCAAATTAAAATATACAATTAAAGTTGAAATCAAGATAAAATTGCTATTGTTGCTAAATGAAACAATCTTCTAAAATATCTAATCAGTGTAATATGAAAAGAAAAATAATCTGTATTATAAATATTAGAAGTATTGATACTACATTTTTATTGCTTTTAGATTATTAGACTTGTACCATTAAAAAGTGAAAGTCAAATATTCAATATAATATGAGTGTTCAGCAAAGTGGCAAACACAAATTTGCTAAAGGAAAACAACAATCTTCCTGTATATACTAGTGTTGATAAAATAATTGATAATTACCACCACAAAATGTGTTGCCTTTCATCTGGTGGAAACAAAAGACAAAAAAAAATATTGCCCAAACAGAGAGGTATTTCCTTCAACAGAAAAAGAAATAGCATATTTATTGTTGATCAAATACATTTATATTACTAATAAAAGGAATTGAATTAAAATATAATTTGCTGTTCATAATGTAACAAAGGTAGGGTGTGAGAAAATAAATTTCAGTGTTATAGGTAGAAACATACTACATAATGATTAAATAATTTGGGATAGCTATATGAAAATATTTATATTAGGTATAATACCTGAACCCAATTTTATTAAAAATCTGGGTATAGGAATTAGTGACTGAAAATATATGTATTCTTAAAATAATATACATTATTTTAAATTTCTCTTTAAACTTTTAAATCAAATAACTATATCATAACTCTGACAAATATATGTTCATATAAGTAATATTAACAGAAGATTATCATATTCCTACTTTATTGTATTTCTTCTAATACCACTTTATTAGAAGTAGATAATTATCATTCCTATTAAAATTATGTAAATTATTATATTATTATAATTAATAGGAATGGCTTTCGGTGCATCACTAGATATCAAGGTATTAGTTGTTGGAGTGAGGTAGAAGTGGGAGTAAATGTGTGTTGCAGTATAGTATATCAGTGTTTCTGATTTTTCAAAGAGTTTTAACAGAAGTAGATGTGAAATTTATCAAATTAACGGCTTGCCTTTATTGAGATAATTTTCCCTTCTTACTTGGTGTAATTATATATTAATATTTTCCTAACTTTCAGATTAAAATTTTATTCCTATTAAGATAAGAAAATAATAGATAATTTTTAATCTTGTCTCTGTTAAATTTGCTAAAAGCTTTTTTAAAATTTATTTGTAGAACAAGATATGAATGAAAGTTTTGAATATGAAGATCTAGAGTCATATTCAGAATATAAGAATCAAAAGAAAATACATAGAGCTCTCCAGTCTCAAAAATTGAAAAGTATGTATGATATTGATGAATGTATTTTAAAACAATAGTCCAAATATTTAATGATTTAAAAAGTGTTCTACACATAGATCAGTTGTTTATGGATTTACAGTTGAATTTTTCCTTAGGCTGAATATTTTAGTACATAATTTACCAAAAACTTGGAGTATGGTGGAACTAGCAAATGCTCTAATGCTATTAATACTACCTGTTACTTGTCATAGTCTCTAATATTCTAATTATTATATTGCATTTTAAAAATTTATTTGACCAAAGAGCACTGTCTTTTTCTTTTTCTGTTAATAGTATTTCATTGAATACTACCTTAGGAAATACTTTTTCTAGAATTTTATAGAACTATTACAATTATTTTTACATATATTTTTAAATATATATTTTAATTCATTTTTAAATTCTTTGTTAAATATTATCTACTAAAATATATTAGCTATAATCTAGATAAATTTATTCTTGATTTTTTTGTCTAATTTTGTATGCTTGGAATATTTGCACTCATGTTACTAGCACAGACAGGGGGGATGTTGCTAGCACAGGCACGGATACAAAGGGAAAGAAAAAAAGGCAAAGTTGAAAATATGGCCTTGGAAAGAGGAGCAGAAGAGAAATCAGATTGAACTTAGATAATACAGGAGTTCAATAGTGGGCTGGCACATAAGAAGTACTCACTTTTCTTTTTCTGAATGGAGAGCTGTGGTGAGAAGCCACGTTGTGAAGGTCATACCTAAGCTTAAAATTTTGAGACAAATTCCTGCATTTTTATCTCATCTGATGATAGTAGTAAATATTGTAATTTCAAATGCTATTGATTAAACCATCTATATAGATACCATGAAATTGCTCCAAGTACAAGTCTGCTAAGATCTACTATTGATGGAAGAAAGAAGAGTAGGGTGTACACACTTTCCCCTATATACCAAGATTTTTCCAGATGCGTGCCGTGCTCGCTTTCTCTCTCTCTCTCTCTCTCTCTCTCT